TCCGGATGTCTGAGGTACGACCCTCTTTTTGTAATAGCTCCAACAGCTTATCACGTTCAGAGATATTCGGGCAACCCACTCCAACACCTTGAGCAAGCTGAAAAATATCAGTTCGAATGCCTTTCTTCCTTATTATAGCCTTAACGTCGTTCACCTTGATAACGGGCAGATCAGCCTGGTAGGAAAGATCTCCTCTCTTTTATCAACGAGATCATCATTAGCCATGGGCCATTTCTTGTCCATAAAAATAACAACAGAGTCCTTGGAGGTAGACTTTAACTCTCTCAAAGCTGACGTTCATTCCTTAGCCTCGAAGGCGGTGGAGGGGAAAGAAGTTCATCATCATCATTTTCATCACTATAATCACACCAACTTCCCGATCCGCCCTTAGGCGGATGCCTCACTAGTCTGAGTTGTGCGCCAGTCTTATTGCCAGATTCCATTGCCAGGGCTGAGCCAGTCTTCTCAGGGCTAGCAGCCTCAACAAAAGACTTCGTCCTATTCCTCACTTCCGCAGTGCTTGAGGAAGAACTCGAGTAGATACCTTCATTCTGAGTGGTCGCACCGTCTAGAACAGCCTCAAGTTGCCCGACCGTCTCAATGAGGGCCACATTTTCAGCTTCAAACTGATCAATACAATGTTTGAACTCAGACGAACGTATGGTTAATTCAGTGACCAGCGAATGAAGTATATTCGCAGTAACAGAGCTAATCTTGCCGTGCTCAATGTTTTTGTCAAACAGTCCTCTGCATGCTCTTATAATGTCAAGGAAGCTTGTCACCTTCCATGGCATATCCGACAAGCCAGTTTTATGATAAACCTTTTATCTCTCAAAGCTCCTGGTCCGAGCTTCTTGATCGCCACCATAGCATCCGGAGTTGGTCAATTCATCATCATCAGTATCCGGAAGTGGTCTCTTCCACTGCTGCACGATGTCAGGAGGACGACGAGCGGCGGGGGAGGGAGGGGGGCATAGAAAAAGCGAATTGAACTACCTTGAGTGGATGTTGTGGATGTTGTTAATGTGGTGAATGTTGTCCATGTTGTGAATGCTGTTGTTTTCGTTGTTTTCGCTGTCGTTGTTGTTCTTGTTGTCGTTGTACTCTCGCTCCTTCTCAAATGCGGAGTTCCAGCTTCTCTAGACTCAGTTCGATGCGGCCAGTCCGCTCACGGAGTCAGGTTCGGTTCTTACTTCACCTCTCTCTCCAGTTCAGTCGTGTTATTCCTACATGGTCAAACGACAATCTTCGTCTCGCGCCTCTTCTCCTCCCATACCGTCCAAGTCTACTAAATCGGTCGAATCGCCTTCTGCATCCAGATCTATCTTGCACCGCATCAAGCACCACTCTCCACATGCTACTTCAGCTGATGCTACTGCTACACCCCCCTCTCAAACTGAGGTCCACCAGCCTTTCGACTCGCCGGACTCTAACGATTTCGATCATCATACTCTCAACCTCCCTGAGAGTCATATTCCTGCTCTTAGAGCAGTGCTCTACCTCGTGCTAACAACCTGTGCTAAACCTCCCGATGATTTTCGTTCTCATGTTCACGAATTTCAGCTACCTTCAACGGTGTCATCCTGTCCATCTCTTCGAGTTCCCGGTCACCTGGTCCCCGATTTTGGAAAGGAATGCGAACTTTCTTCTTTCCTCAATCGGCCTTGGCATGACTTCCTGCTTTCTAGCTGGAGTCGTATTAAAAACATCACTCCTTCTAACCCCCAATCTCTGGGCGCTCTTAGCACGGCTCTCATGGCCGCCATGGGTCTTATCAACCGCCTCTCCTTGAGCGGTCTCATTGATCTTATAGCCGGTATATGCTTCATGGGCTCCTTGATAGATCTCCGTTTCGGCAGAGATGGCACCTCACGTTGTCGTTGTGGACTGGATTGCCTCCTTGTCGAGCTTTGCGCAGCTATAACTGACGGACGTATCCCAGATTGTTCACTACGTTCTCCCACCAATCAACCATTTCCTCTGCTCGAGTCTATCTTAACCAGATTCTCCGGCTTCGTACCTCCTCCTCCCGCCTTCGCGACCTCTGCGCAAGGTAAAGGCAAAGGCAAAGGTTCCGTGGTCAAACCCTATTCTACCTCCTCTCCTACTACCGATTCTGCTACTACATCTGATATCAAACAACAATGATCTATTGTCATCCTTCTTTCCAGAAGCATTCCATTGACCCCTTGTTCATCACATTATGTCTCAATCAACATACTCATCTATCTCACTTCTTATCTGAGTCCATTTGATCATCGTTCCGAGTTGTTCCAATCTCTTACGGTGATGATACTATCTCTTTTCTGATCTCAACTCTCAGTAGTTCACACTTCCTCATGTCCGAACCAACCTCTCCCCCTCCTCTGAAACGTGCTCGTCGTGGCACTCGCAGCTGCAGACGCAGTCTCTTTCGTAGACTCAACAAAGCTCTCATCGCACATCATCTCTGCAACCTTCTAGAAATCGCTATTGAAGATGATCTCTTCATTCTTCGACCTACGTCAAACGATCAAGTCCTTTATGGATACCCTTTCGAGGGGAGCTCGAAGCATCTATTTCAAACACTCCAGAGGGTTGACGACTCCTCTCTCTCTTCTCCTTCGGATGTGCTCACTTGGGCTACCCAGACCTCCTTCTCTACCAGAGGCTCTCCTATCCTCCCTACTGTGCTATTGGGTACTTTGGCTATACATTCAATGCTATCGGAATCAGAACTCATTCTACTGCGTGCACACAATACATCGGTACTCTCAAACTTACTGGGGGACTCTCCTTCGTCAACGTCACAGGCCCCTACTTTCCCCAAGCTTGATCATTGGAAACTCCGTAATATAGATACCCTCATCAAGCTCTCTCGATTTAGGGGTACATCGATAGTTGCCAATTTGGAACGTGGCTTTAACCTCTGCGGCAACATCTCTGACGGTGGGTTGTTCACCGCTTCAAAACATCCTAAGGTCGCCTCCATCGACCCTTCGGCTCTGTCTACTACCAGACCAGCAGTGAATCGTTTGATAAGGTATCTCCAAGGACCCATCAGTCATGATCCGGAGCTGAGATCAGCCGTCTGCGCAGATGTTGTTTCAGAAGCTTCTCTCGGTCGAGCTGTCGGTCCTCTTCCTGCCACTTCTCAGAAGTGACTTCTGTCATCTCTACACAGCACCCATATTTCATCTTCCTTATATTCGGGATACGTCAATCAGACAAGATCCGCCTCATCTCCAACTACTCATATACCAACAACTCTCTGTGTCTGAATGCTTCTGCCAGTCTCTCGCACAAGGTTAGTATGCCTCGTATGACCCATCTCGCCGAGATAGCTCGTCGTCTAGGATCCTCACTCAAGCTTATTACCAAGCTTGACCATGAGAGTGCCTATCGTCAGCTCAGAATTACTAAAGAAGATCAGCTGCGCGCACTAGGACTCCATCTGGATGATCAACAGCTTCCAAAAATCGTTAAGCCTCTCAACAACATCCTCGGCTTAGAGGTTCATCTGGAACATGGAGGGCTACTACCGGCACGGCGAGAAAAACTACTTGCAGATCTACTCTTGGCACAACACCAGCATCTTAGCATCACGTCCAAGTTCGCTGGACGTCTATCCTTCGCCTGTGACTCCCTCTTCGGGCGTGTGGGTCGTGCCTATGTTCGAACTATCATTCGTTATTCCCGAGGTCTTCCTATCGATTCTGCCCTCTTGAACACCTCACTCCGTACCCTATACTCATTGTTCAACACAGCTTCGAGGCCAAGAGATCTGGTTTATGAACTCTCTATCGCCCCACATCCGGTTCTAGCTTTCGCCGACGCTACAGGATCGGGCGGTCTCGGTGTCGTCCTATTCGACAAATCTCAAGACAGTCTAGCCTTTGGTTTCACGAAATTTCCCAAGGCTAAATCCCCCCACATCAACTCCTTGGAACTCTTAGCCGCCGATTTAGCTCTCAGCTCGGCGGCCAGGTGGCGCCTCGGCTCAGACATCATACTCTTCACCAACAACACAGTAGCTTCAGTGGTAGTGTTGTCAACACTACCACTGAAGCTATCATTTGTCGTGGGTCAAGCTATTCTCTCTCCTTGAGCCAAGCTATTGCTAATATTTGGTTACATATTGCATCCTTGGGCATAACCCACATATTCGTGACTCGCATATCCTCCTCATTGAATCCCGCTGACTGTGTTAGTCGAGGTGACTTTACAACTCCTTCGATTAGAAGAGCAAAAAGGCTACCTCTCATCACGCCTACTTGGTGCGATTCTTGAGCTATACAGTTCTACTTACATTTTACATTGTAACCTTTCATATGGTCTCCCATCGTCGCTCACCATTTGCTCGACTCTCGTCAGAAATCGTGTTCACTATTTCATGCTTCTCCGCAGTCATTCATGTCATCCGACTCCTTCACTTTTGACCTAACCAACATCGCTGCGCGGGTTCTCGACCACCCCGAAAAGCTTCTCAGCAGACTCAACGACGACCACATCAATTCTTGGCCCTTATTCGCTTCATGGCTCCCCACAGACCTCTTACCCGGAACTCGACTAAAACTCAACCTCCTCAAGGCCTGTCCTGAGATCCGAGCGCGTCTCTTCACGTTGAACCACAACGTCTTCCAGGATAAGTTTAATCTCCCAATTCGTCATCATCTTGCTTCCGCAACCTGGAGATCATACTCTTCGGTTATCACCAAATATCTTCAATGGCACTGGTCACAATTCCCTCACATTCCAGCTCTTCCTGCGTCCGCATCGTCCGTTCGTCACTTTGTGACCAATACATCAGGTCACTCATACTACCTGGCTTTAAAGAAGATCCACCATATCCTCGAACTTCCCGTGTTCTTTGACGACGATCTCACTCACGCCATCAGCAAAGATCAACATTTACTTCATCGTGACTGCGTCCACGACAAGGCTTTTCTCAAGCTCCACCAACTGAACGATCTAGTTCAGATCGCTCAGTTGCATAACCATCATGTCTTCGCTGCATGTGGTATCTTGGGTTACTCGTTTAGCCTGCATCTCCCTTCTGAGCTACTCAATTCCGAGAACCGGTTCATTTCGGTTACTCCAAACTCCTGCACCATCACCCTGAGGAAGCGTAAAAACGAGCGTCGACCAATTCGACTACGCCGAAAATGCAAATGCTCCACCTGGGGTGCTCATCTTTGCCCTGTCAGAGCTGCTCGCCCACTCCTCACGTCCACATCTACTCTCGCCCCCTCAACCTTCAACAATCTCCTCAAGCGGTTTGTCTCACAGACCACTATCTCTCATCCGTTGTTCTTTTCTTTTCACTCTCTGAGACGTGGTCGGACTGACGACCTCTTCCATTTAAATGTCCCCCACAATGTCTGGATGCTTCCGGTGGTTGGAGAAACCCTCGCACAAAGCTCTACTATATTGATCGTTTCCACAATCCCTCTCAAATATAATCATTACCTAACCACTTATGTACACATGCCCATGTTGGGTTCTTGTAACAGGAGTCAATACAACTCCCATCACAGTGTGATGATCACACCTTGCATGGGGTAACCTCTTCCACTCTCATCTCTCACACCGCGTTGGGGACTCCGATTCGAGTGTCGAGGTCTGACGAGGCTGATGGCCCTCCTCGCTCCCCAACGTTGTGATTAAATGGAGATTCATCATCTTCATCGGACCTCGAACCGATTGTATGCTCGATCACACGAAGTTGTGAGCGTGTACCTCCCTCTAACTCATACTCTGACTAGAGTGACTCAGGTGAACTCAACGACCTCGGTGATGACATTGGTTATGATAAGTAGATAATCTCCACGAAGTGTTCTACTTCGCTCTATGAAAAAAGGGGAAAAGCTATGCGTTTGCGTGCCGCGTGGTGCGGTCCGCTGCACGCATGAACAACAACAATGCTTGGTGGTATCATCAAACTGAGTATACAGCTTAGGTGAGCTGGGAGAATACACAGCGGCACATAATAGTGTTGAACGACATGGCACAACTCGCCTGGGAGGTGGTCCACTTGAATGGCCTCCCCTTCTCCAAGAGGGCGTACAGGCTTCAGATACCCTATCACCCCCAGGGCAGATCTCAACTCCGCCCTATCTCTGGGGGCTCTGAGACCCCGGAGTTTGGCCACTGGTTCGTCTCTCGCTCGCCAGCCTTCCCGCGTAATCTGTAACCCCAGGAAGTCCACAGATCCTCCCGGTCCTTGGCACTTCTCTGGCTGTATCTCGACCCCATGTCGTCGGAGAGCCTCAACTATGAGGTCTCTAGCCCGACACGCCGATTTGGTACTCTCAGCGCAGATGGTGATGTCGTCAGCGTAGGTCAAGACCAGGACGCCGGGAGGGAGCTGGATCTCGTTGAGGGCGCCCCGTACGAAGTTCTCCCAGAAGTAAGGGCTTGTGCAGAGTCCTTGTGGTAGAACCTTCCACCTGAATCGCACACCATTCAGAATACCCCCTAGGAACCTTCGACTGCTCGGTACCAAGGGTACGGAATGAAATACGTTGTTCACATCCAGACAGATGAAAGCTGAGCACCCACGAGGAACCGACCCTAGGATGTCAGGCAAAGAAGTTCTAGGGGCGTAGGTGTGGATTCTGCTGTTTACCTCCCTGAGATCGTTCAGGATGCGATAGGTACCGTTAGGTTTCTTCTTGAGGAAGGTCGGGGAATACCATTGCATGGGGTCATCATCCTCTACAACTTCTATCCAGCCCTTGGCCAAGGCTTCCTGAAGCACTTCAGTGGCCGCCTCACGTTTCTCGGGAGGAAGCGAGAAGTACCGAGCTCGGACTGGGGGGTGTGCACGGGTGACCTCCACGTGAGCTGTAAAGGGATTTACAGACTCCGCTTCTTTCAGGGCTGCCGCGCTTCCGAGCTGGATCGAGTGGTCCGCCACAGAAGGTTTGGCGCAATCAATTTCCATATCGAGTTGGAATCCCAACATTCTCAGGCTATCATTTCCTAGGATAACCTCAGCCTCCCCGGGAACGCTGTTCACGCAGAAGGCTTGCAACGGGAGCACTCCTCCTGCGGTCTTCACTTCAAAGATCACCGGGTGGCCAACTGCCGCTGATCTTGGCTGCCTTTCGGCTACGATCAACGCGGGTTTCAGGCGCTACGAGGCCTCTTCGAACCAGTGTCAGTTGGCTTCCCGAGTCAACCATCGCCTTGAAGAGTGCTCCACTTGTGGCCTCGAGGTCGATGTAGATAAGATCATTGGGGCCGTCTCGTTCTGCTCGCTGGCCGAGGGTCTTGGGGTAGCTTATGGCCGTCGCCGAGATAGGCTGGGGTTCGACGCCCTCCGATAAGTCGGAATCCGAGTCGATCAAGCCCGTAATAGTATTGATGGCCGCCACAGGGTCATCGGCCGAGGGAGCTCTCGTCTCATCGCTCCTTGTAGCTCCAGTATCCTCGCCTTTCTTAGCAGGTCTCGGTCTTTTATCCGGACAGTCTCTTTGTAGGTGGCTCTTACGGTTGCACCCGAAACATCGCCCTTCTGCTAGACATCTCAGTTGAGTGGTAGTATATCTTTTACCAGCCGCCCCCCGCTTTGGTCGTGGAGGGTGGTTATCCTCTGGTTTGGGCTCCTCAGCCTTCATGCCGATTGCCGATGTATGGCTTCCTCGACTCGACGGTCCGAGATCTTCAGGAAAATGCTGGTCGACATCTTGCATCCATTCTGGGCCGCGTACTATAGTGCTCGCTCGCAAACTTGTAGGGCCGAGATGGTTTTGAGCTTCGGTCTTGCTGAGTAGCTTCAGCTTGTAACCTGATTCCCGAGCCTCCAACAGAGTGGCCTTGAAGCTTTTATAGTCAGGAGTGGCGTTGATTTGAGCCCATTTCGGAAGTAGTAGTTGTCACCACGCCGGTATTACGAGGAGAGCGGATAGGATTCTGTCTCGGCGCTTTTCCCATGGGAAGGAAGCTCCTTCTTCGGACAGGATAAGCCATAGAGAGTATTCTCGCTGAAGCAGCGATTCCAATGGCTCTTTGGTCTGGAACTTCAACGTACCCCACATCATCATCGGCGAAAGCGATGACTCATCGCTTTCGCTAGGGACACAGGAGATTTGGTTATTTTCCGGACCCGCCCCAATAGGTCGTCATGCCACTTTTGGATGATGGCGTTGTAGTTGAGGAAGTCGTTCTTGAATGCCTCTTTGGTTGGTTTGTTAGCTGTCGATAGGTTGACTCTAGTCCACTTGGACCAGTCCATCAGATCCTCTCTCCCTTCGTGAGCAGTGGTACTGCAGATGTCCAGCAGGCCCTCGCGTAGGGACAGGGTGGCCTGTGGTGGCGCCACAGTGAGCCACACGAGCATTCTGATCGTCGGCCCAGCCTGCGTCAGTGAGAGGGCCCTCTCCATGGAGTCCATCCAATCGGTATTCTTTTGGAGGTTCACCACCGGAACATCTCGGTCGGCCCCTATGGACCCCTCAGCACATGATAGATGCCACGACTTCAGGAACTCGAGTGTGTTCGCTCCGAGGACTTCCCCGAGCTGCCCACCAGGCCCTGAGCAGCTGATAGCCATATACTTGTCCCGATACCCACCAAGACCTCGAACAAACGTAGGGTACTCATCCTGACGGCCACGTCGATAGGGGGTGGCTTAGAATCAGCCTCATCATGGTCGGTCTGAGGCGCTAGGGCCTCATGGATCAGCTGGTCCGCAGTCGCTTGTCCTGGGTGAGTTTTGCCGACTACACCGAGGGAGGTTACATAGGGAATGCCAATGGTCGGGAACGATGAAATCCCGCCTGCCTGTGTCACTTCATCAGAGGTACCCCTGCTTCTTGAAGATGTCGCCCTAGTTCCGACGGCACTCAGTAGGCCCATTTCAGCAGAAGCCCCACGGTGGGCGCCAATTGTACCTCCCTCTAGCTCATACTCTGACTGGAGTGACTCAGGTGAACTCAATGACCTCGGTGATGACATTGGTTATGATAAGTAGGTAATCTCCACGAAGTGTTCTACTTCGCTCTATGGAGAACGGGGAAAAGCTATGCGTTTGCGTGCCGCGTGGTGCGGTCCGCTGCACGCATGAACAACAACAATGCTTGGTGGTTTCATCAAACTGAGTATACAGCTTAGGTGAGCTGGGAGAATACACAGCGGCACATAGTAGTGTTGAACGACATGGCACAGAGCGTCATACCATTTCGAGATTGTGAGGGCGAGCGCTAAAAATAAGCCGGCACGCACGCACTATACTGGGGTCTCCCCCTCGAAGGGATGGCGATAATATGCCTCCGTGTTCCAACTTCTTGCCCCTCCCACCACACCCGGGACTCCCATTCGACGAGGCTGATGGCCCTCCTCGCTCCCCAACCGTTGGGGCCCAACGTTGTGATTAAATGGAGATTCATCATCCTCACCGGGTCTCGAACCGATTTTATATCTCCAGAGGAAATCATTGCTAGTAATTGATATCTTCAGAGTCCAGCTGTTCGCAGTTGCAAAAGTTGCTCTTAGTTGGACAACCCTCTCCGTTCGGCACTGTCTGTGAAAGTGGTTTTCTGTGATGGACAACTCGATACCGGAAAATACATCCGATGAAGAGAACAGCAACGGACTACCGAATAGCATACTATGCTAAGCATAGTACGGATGGATCAAGATATTCGTCCATCGTCCGATACGTTTACGCCACCCGCGGTTCGACCGAGTACCACTACAGTGAACTTCGCATCAACAGGTGTGAACTTTCTCAACATAGTGGTAACGATCGACCACTGAGTTCAGGTGTTTTGGTTGCGAACATATTGCTAGATATTCCTCGAGACTGAACAAAGCTCGAGCCTTCGCTCGCGACATGCTACCAAACTTTTTCAGGAAGAGGTGGTTGACCTTCCTGGCTGTCGTGATGAAGGCATCGCCGTTGATCTCAGAAGCTCATCAAGCTCACTGGTAACCAGTGACTGGTTAGCCCATTCGAATTCGGTCGTCGCGATTCCCTATCGGAGATCCCCATCCGTGGCGGTGTTTATAATTCGAGCTCCGGCGACTCGACTAGAGCGGAGATCATAGAGCTATTGTTTGGGCCTTCCGTGTCCCGCACATCAGCATGGTTGTATACCAAAAACAACAGCGCTCTTGCCGAGGTTTTGGCCACTGATCACGACATGATAGTTTCGGATGAGTTCTCTATGCCATCGCCTTATTCTCAGATGTTTTTTCTCCGTCAGGTTGAGCCTATGCACCCTCATTTCTCGGCGAGGAATTCTCGCAGTCATCGAACTGACTTCCACGATAGGGTAAGTCAGGGTAATCGGATCTGCCTGGAAATGAAATTCGTGCTGCAAGTCGATCTGCTGAGTTAACCTTGAGCAGGCTATAAGGTATAGCCTCTATCATACAGACATTTACTCGGTCAATAAGGGTAGCTATGCCTCCGGACTACATTATTCACGAATCAACTCAGTGGATAGGGGCAGCAGTGCCCTCGGACTACATGGTCATTTTCTCAATTCGAGTGACTTCTGTTCGTCAGACAGTTGGTTGGGAGTGTGTGAGAGGACCAAATACTGTGAACCCAAAGCCCGAACCCTCGCCGGGTCTTACCTTGGCCCATGTTTCCTGACATATGTTAGTGTCCCCCAAACTCGATCACACAAACAACGATGCGTCACCTACTTGAAACGAGATCCTCACTGTCGCAGGGAGGAGACATGTCCGATTATTCGACAGAACTTTCAGAAGACTCTTTCCACTAGGAACATTCTTCGACGTAACATCCTCATCAATGAGAGTCACTCACACCAAGTTAACATTACAAGCTCCGACAGCTAGGTTATCGTTCGAGAATGAACTCAACGGAAGGCCAATTGAGAAAGCACTACCACAAAGTCTAAGAAACACACCATGCGTCCAGGAGTCATGCAGCTTCCAGAATTTGCTCAACATGGCTCCGACACTTCTTCTTCACGAAGGCCGATGAACACCAATTACCCCAGCTTTGATTTGGTGAGAGCTCAACCCGAACAGACTTAACACACCCCAGCGACGTAGACTGTGGCACGGTCATTGTGCATCGTAGCTTCATCCCGTTTCCACTCGAAGACTTATTGCGGAAACTCCTTGGCGAGTTATTTCGTACTTCAATTCAGAAAATACCCTTTGGCTCGTTGAAGTAGCTGTTCGCGGCATCTTAGTGATATTGTGAGCCACACAGTGCACCTTGTTGCATGAACAGCCCGCTGAGCATAGAAATTCACGTTCCTCATGGAAGGAAGCTTTGGTGTTGTAGAAATCGAGAAGAGCTAGAGTACCCTCGGGTGTTTTCCCCAACTCACGTCTGCCACACGGAGACGTGCTGCCACCTGTTTTAACCGGAGCATCAAAGTACTGCCCAATAAAGCTGCTGATCTGATCTGATCTTCTGAGCTCGCGAATTGCAGAGGCATATGGGCTAACGCTTTCAGACATTCGCTCGGGAGCACTACCGCCCTCTTCATTGGACGTTCTAGAGAGCTCAGTGCATTGTCCGCACTTCGCAGAACCCTATCAAAGATTTGGCTCTCTTCACGAGAAAACACTTGTCCAAGGCGAACCTGGGCAGTCGATCGCACGCCGCAAGTATATTTACGGATAGTAGATGATTGAATCTCTGCTGAGGCCGTGAAAGTTCTGATGAAAGCAATAAGGTTGTTGACTGTGACACGAATCATCGCACATATAAGACCGAATCCGCCTTCGTAGTAGCTCGCAGGTGTTCGGTATTGTTGAAATGTAGAATCCTTCAGAGACTGTGACAGAAACTCCAAACTTTCCTGCTTCTATTCAGCAGATTGTAGAAACTCTCAAGGTACGATCGACCTTTGACAGATCCCGAGGCATGTCTCGGAGAAGAAGGCGTTAGGAAAACGTGACAAAAAGCCTGTTCCAAGAGATTGACAACACTATCTGTTTACATAACTTCAGAAGCATATGCCGACCAGAGAGATGCTCAAACCAGAGTCATACCTGAGGCGTTACTGCGACCCGACGCTACTCAGCAGCAGCGGTTGGTATGGTCTCCGATCTGGAACGACGACTGATGAAATCTGCAAGGCTATTGAGACGTCCAGGCATATGTTGAAAGCATAAACGTGAAGACCAGTGAGGAACCCAACTCAAAGGCGTTCTCAAAGCTTGTGTCTTTGGAGACCAAGAAGCAAGACCCGAAACCGTTTCTGTTTTATCACAGAAAACTGAAACTGAAATATGCTATAGTTCTTGAGTCGAACACTGGGCGTCTTCTCGATCCCAATCAAACCCAAAACAGCTGCACACAGCTCCAGATAACAGATCTCAGACTCCTCCAAACCGGGATAAGCGGATCCTTCAACATCTGGATGTGCCTTGAGAATTTATTCCCACAGTAGAGGCTCGTCACAAGGGTCGATATTATACCAATAATGCTTAGTGCCATCAGTGGAGAATCCTCCGAAGCCGTACGTGCAAGCATCCGATATCAGATACCATACATCCTCCTTCGAACCAAAAAGGGGTACGGAACATGGCTTGGCCAGAGCCTCCGATATCGACTCAAGAAAATCTTAAGCAGATGCAAAAAGGCGAATACGTCAAACTTAGACGGAAACTTTAAGGAAAACCTCTTAAAGAGGTTTTCCTGGTTTAGGACGGTCAGCGGCAGCGGTCAATGCATATAAGGCACCGAGCTTGGGACGCTAATGGCGAGTCAATTGGGCACACCAAGATAGCTTCCCGGCTTACTTATCCAAATCTTTAGTCTCTACTATGTTCGATTGAAGAATGCTGGAGACCTGTAATCGATACTTCTCTCTCTTTTAAATTGAAATGCTGATCCGAGCAGAGCCAAGAACATTCTTAAAATCTAGCCCGAAACCGAGAGCACAAATATCCGGGATACTCGTCGCCAACGTTTCCGAACGGACCAGTGCACGATGATATGGTTCAGTGAATGAGGTTTGGGAAGCTCGTGTTGAGCTATATCGAGAGACTCCATCATCAGGCCAGGTGCCATTGATCATTACAACACCACAGTTGAAACCAGCAGAGAATTCGCAACAGTATGAAGTATGATCCAGATCGAGAGCACAGCTGAAAGTAAGCAGTTGTACCGACGAGCGCGTCCTAGGCCACTATTTGCGCCATTCTACACTACGCAATCTACGTGTAGACGAGCATAGCATCTCTTATCGTCGTGAAAATCGTGAAAAGTCGTGGAAATCTGAGATGGTCTAGGAAGTGTCCTCCATACCTGAACGCAACAACATCGACAGTGTTCAAGGGAAAGAAAACATACCATATTTCTCTTGTTCAATCCAATAACCCGCCACTCAATGATCATTGAAAAGGTGATGAGCCCAGCTAGGGCTCCTCGAGCTCCAATGCGGTTTGCAAGAGTGTGCTTGTTAAAAAGTTGGACAGCGCACAGCAACGCGCAGACCTGCATACAGATAAGCGATAAAAAGCAGGCTCCTGCGCACCGCATTCACGCAATATTGGGCAGAGATATGGAAAAATGAAAATAAATGATAAGCAGATGGATGTTGTAGTGAAAGCTAC